ATATAAATATTAAATAAATCTTCATTTTAACTACGTGTGTTTATTGCTTTGGGAGTTAAATATTGCAATTCCTTAGCAAAGAGAATAGACTGTGGCAATTGCTATTTTGATCTGAATGCATATAAAGGGAACTAGTGTGATCTGGAAATGGGTTTGATAGTTGTGCTGTGTAGTCTAGAGTTTCTTTGGCCTTGAGATTTTTTTAAGATTTTTTTTTAAACACGTATTTTTAATATAAAGCCTCCTTTGGATTAGCAGCAAGTCAAAATTTCAAGAATGTGGCATAGTACAATAGCAAGACCTTGGTCATACAAGCATAGACAGCCTTGCAAATCTCAGAATAAAATATGTGAACCTACAGGAGACTGCCATCCTGGGTGTGTGTATCTTCCTACTGGTGCTTCTATCATCTGTCAAAAGAAAAGACGAGTAATTAACATGAACAGTATGTTTTTGTAGGATAGTTAATGGAATTGAGAATTGTCTAAAGTTAAAGGTCAAATTGATACAATGAAAGTGTGATGAGGTAATGAGAAATTTTTGAATATACTCTGCAAATACTAGCTTACTTGGAAAATGACAGCTGCTTAAATTGTAATTAATGTCAAACCTCTCCAATGTCCTCCTATAAAAATGGGGTCTGGATGAGATTGAGCATAATTGTTGTCCTGTAGAAGTCTTGTGTACTTTTGTGACATTAATACAACATAACAACATAATTTTTGTTGTGTTTGTTTTGCCCTCTTGAAGCTTAACCTTGGAGACGATATCGTGAAAGTTGTAATCGATTGGAGCAAGCTTCAAAGCACATCAGCACTTCAGCCAACATTGCTCTTTAGTGCACTTCAGCAGCATATTTTATGTTTGCAGGTAAATATTTCATTGGACACATTTGACTTGACAAAAGTGATCAACAACTGAATGTAGTTATATTATCAAAACTGTAAAATTTCAGTCGTTTTGATCTTATATTGCTATGTCCAGCAATAAAGAATGCAAACAAAGCATATGCTTGAGATTCCACTGTGCTTCGTAGGTACTCACTCTTAGGGATTTTTCAGATTAGTGGTGCAATAGCCACTGTAGGTGAGCAGGCTGAATAAATGCAACCTCATTGATTTGTGGACTTGCATTGTAAATGTGATACATTTCCATCTATGGTGGGTTATAATTAAGCAATAAGACACGGCAGGTGTGTGTCATGCTATGATAATGATTCCATGCGTTGGGTGAGTTTTGAGGCTCATGGAGTGCTTTCAGTGGTTCAAGAAGTGGCATTATCCCAGCATGACACATCCTGGAGTGTCTTACTGCAATTAAATATATTTTCAGCATAGGGCTTTTTTTTTTTTTTAAAGAGTAATTTCTTTGACATTAATGTCTCATCTTGCCAAGTAGCCAGTCACCATTACTGTCATTTCTTTTAACTATTTGAAACTTTCCAACCCTGCCAAAAGTAATTTAGTTGCATGGCAGGGACAGCGAGAGCGTTTTGTCAGCTAGTAACTGAACAGTGTTTTGACCTTGATGGTTCATCTGTAAAAGGTGGGGATTTGAGTACCAGTTTGTTGATGAATTATTTCAGGTGTGTAGTACTGAGAGCGTGAAAAAGGAAGCTCCTTTATTTGCTTGTCTGTAGGTAAAAGAAAGACCCTTTATGTTTTCCAGAAATCCACCAAATCTTTGGTGTGATAAACAAAAAGAGAAAATATGCAAGATAAAAGCAAGTAGAAATAACATCCAATTGTAAGAACACTGCAAGTAGGAATTTGATTCCGTTTCAGGAAATGTGACTGGTAAAAATCATGTTGTCTATTAAAAAAAAAAAATTCTGGAGGGAAAATAAGCAGTGAAATTCAGAGTAGATTAAACTGGTAAAAATTAAAAAAGGGGATGTGACATATATATGTATTGAGGTTTTGTTATTACATCTTGTGTAAGAATTATTGCAGTAGAATAATAAGCATTTATTTCTGCTGCTTCAAATGTCAGTGCATTCTCTCATTTAATTTCATGACCTAAGTAGATAATCAACCGTGTCGAGAAAAGCATGTGTTCAGGATAACGCCTATATATTTCATGTCTGTGTTCTCTCATTCACTTGGGCAACTGCAGTTTCAAGTGGGGAATGATGTGTTGTAGTGATAAAGTAAAGGCTTTACAGTGTGAAAGCATTGGCTTTCATGTTAAGGAGGAAAAATTCTAAGCCTTACTGTTCTGAGTAGGCATTTGAATGACACATTAAGTAAGTGGCATGGGTGCCAATGGTTAAAGCTTTGATTTAGCTAGTAGCAAAGGAGTAGCAGGCAGATTTTCACAGGAATCTGGGAATTTTCCTGTACAAACCTCTAAAAGGCACAGGTCAAAAAGGCCAGAATCATGGTGTGCACGGTTTTTGGAACGATTGCTTTTTTTTCCTTTTTTTTTTTTTTCGAGACTTTATTACCATATTACACCAGAAGCAGATGTTGTAATTCCTAAAATTATTTCAGTTGGTCCATTTTAGAAATTGTAAGAGTACTTGGCTTTTTGCTTTTGCTTTGGGCATTGTTTGGTGCTTTTTTTTAACCCTAACATACTGTTTTCTTTGTTCAGCCTCTTATAGAAAAACTCCAGTCATTGATTAAAGGGGAGAATATAGGCCATGTTGAATCTGCAGGTAAAACAGAAGGCCAAACTTGTGAAACAAGTTTAGATGTTTATGATGGTACCTGTCAGACTGAAGAAAATTATGCAAGTTATGACTTGGGAGATCTGAAGGCTGCTCATATTAATTTTGATCCAGAAGTGGTCCAAATAAAAGCTGGAAAAGCAGAAGTAAGTGATGTACCTAAATTAAAAAAAAAAAAAAGAAAAAGAAAAATACCTTTCTGAATTTTAAATGTAAAGAATGAAATAGATATATGCCATCATGTTTATTACCTGCAGATTGACAGGCGGATATCAGCCTTCATCGAGAGGAAACAAGCTGAGATCAATGAAAATAATGTCAGGGAATTTTGCAATGTTATTGATTGTAATCAAGGTAACTGGCTAGCCAGACTTTAATCTTCATAGCAATTTAAGTTGGGGTTTTTTATGTTTTAAAAGCACTATTCTATATTTAAACCAGAACTTTTTATTTTAAGAGTAACTTTGTTGTAAAGTTAAGAACTTGCATGTGCACTGCAGATGTTGTCAGACAAAAAAAGAAAGTAGTCCCTGGATGACAATGTTTAATGCATCCCATACAGAAAGGTTATAGCTATTACTGTGTTTATTTTAAGAACTGTGTTCTTAAATCGGATAATTTTGTAGCTATTGTTCCTAGTGTTTTAGCTAGATGTTCCTTCCAAAGTCAACAGAATTGCAATTCAGAAATGTCTTTTGAATTGCATATTAAAATTGAAGTTAATTTAATGCTAGTTAAATTACAAATAAGTATTTATTGCAATCAATTTGAATTACTAGCTACTTAAATAACTTTTTCCTTTCAACGTTACTCGTGCTATTGGTGTTTTTAATGCACCAGCTGGCCCAATTGTCTGTATCTGTAACCAAACTTAAATCCATCTGGTAGGTTGTATCCCATTAGGATGATCAGTAGCTGTGTAACCAAGTGCGTCTCAAAAGTGAAGACACTTTTATAAACATAAGCAGTATGGAGACATTTTCTAAGTACCTGTGGACCCAGATGTGCATTGTCTCTGTGATGTACTTATGCTTCTAGAGATCAAAGCTTATTGTTCTGTAAGCTTTATAGGAAGAGAGTTAACTCCTTCAGTATCAGTTGGAATGAAAATGACATCTGAAGTCAAGTGGAATATACTAGATAGTAAAATACTGATTCCTAAAATTGTTAATTACATACAAAAGAAATTATAAGACCTTCCTTTGTATGTTCAAATATAACAAAATATGTGTAAAGCTTTGGTGTGTATGAATGGAGGTTAGAATGTAAACATTAGAATAAACTAAGATTGTACTGTAGGTTTTCATGGTTAAATAAATTAAAGAAGTCACAGACATCAGAATAAATGCAGGAAGGTGAGAAAAGAATGGTGATGAGTAGGAGGAGAATAGTTTCAAAGCAGGACATAAAAACAGAATAACAGTGGTAAGCAGGGAAAAGACTTCGGTACAGGAAGAAAGAATTAAGTTACAGAGAAATGCAGTGAAGAGTAAGAATCAAATAAAATGTAAATTGGACAAAATTTGATTCCGATCCAATAAACTTTTGTATGCATGTGTACATACATTTATATAAGTGTCATCCAGTTGAACCCAGTAGGTCCATGCAAGTGTGTGGAACTATTAATGAGCAAGTGTTTATAGAATGAATTAAGTATTTCTGATGTTTTTATTCTATTAAAATTTTTAGTTAGATTCGTTAAAAGCCTCAAAGCTGATGATGGTTAGAATATTTTAAATTACAAATACATAATTAGGACCTCACTTTTTATATTATTCTTATTTATTTAGAAAATAGCTGTGCCAGAACAGATGCAATTTTCACACCCTATCCTGGATTTAAAAGCCATATAAAGGGTAAGCAACTATTATAATACCCATTTATTAAAAGTGTCCAGATAGAACAGCACTGATGAATTTTTGACTTAAGAACTTTTTTTTAGAATGCTCAAAAAATGCAAAGTTAATGTTGATTTTTAACTCCAGTGAATACTTTTACATCTTTGTTTACTTCTCCGGTTTTTAATCCCATAGCTGCTTCATTAAGCTGATGGTTATGCACTAAAGACCAAAACAAAGTGGCCTGTTTTCATTGTCTGAAAGGAAAGAGGCAAAAAATAAAGCAGGATAGAGAAGCTGGACAATTCTTAGCTTTTCTATAAGGTGAAGCTTAGCAGTCCAGTTAAGGAATTGAGGTTCAATAAAATTATGTTCTGTTTTTTGTTAGCTGATGTAAGTATACTGAATTAGAAAATAGTTTTGGGACACAGTGGAAGTTCCAAGACATAGATTTATGGGAAGTGACAAGCTGGGGAACAAGCTTCCTGCTGCACTATCTTTTGGAAAGGAGTAAATAGTGTAGAAATCATTGTCCAATTAAAGTTATGCATAAAAGATTGCTTGTCTGTGTACTGCTCTCTAGGTATACACAAGTTACTCTGTGTTTAATAACAATCTTCAAAATGAGAATGAAGCTAACCCTCTTTTCTATTTGTGAGAGTGGTAGTATTCAGTTATCCACTTGATATTGGTTCTAGAAACCAATTCATTATTCCAAATTCTAGAATTCATCGTGCTTCATGGTGCTATTCTGAATTCTACATGTGGCCTTCGTGAAGTACTGAGTAAGAAAGTGTGTACTTCAGTGTCTGGAGTTACCAGCGTAGTCTTTAAGTCTGCTGTACACTGCAGTAGTCATATCAGGAAGGACTTGAGAAGTGACTGTGATTTAAAGAGAAGTGACCAAAATCTTCTGATGAAGACATGGAAAGATAGACCCAGAGGCAGCTGAAGAGTCATTAAAACTGCTACCTGAATAACAAAAATTAGAAGAGAACTTCCTTGCTGAGATTTGTAGCAGTTCTTCTAGTTGTATACCTCCCCTCACCTTCATGTAGTTACGATGCTTCCTGTAATATTAGGTCTGGCCTCTTCTTTGCATTCACAACAGCTCACATGTGCAACTGCTGACATAGATGTCGGGTTTTCTGCTATTTATCAGCAGCTTATGACAAATTCTTGACACCACCATTCTACATGAATGTATGAGTAATTCTTTTACTTTGCATATATAAAGTCCTAGGTTTTTCTTTAATTTTCTTACTCAAGCAAAAATGGGAAAATACTTTTACTTGAACCTTTCATCTTAATGTGTGTGGGAGTCTTCACATGACAGACTGGTGCGAAATTGATCTAACACAGGTTTTAATCTTTTGATATTTTGATTGTTTTAGTTAGACATTACTTTGTGTTTCATGTGCATATGTGTTAAATTTGTGTTCTCTTTACGTAGTTTCTAGGGTAGTAAATACATATGGACCTCAGACTAGATCTGAAGGAGCACATGGGTCCAGTTACAAAGCAAGTGTACCCATTCATGATTGTGGAAACCAAGCTGTTGAGGAGAGATTGCAAAACATTGAAGCACACTTACGGTTACAAACAGGTTCGTAGCATGTTTTAATTTTGACATCGATATGCCGGTTTGTACTACAGTTATCATTACTGTAGTAAAACTGGCCCAGTCTGTAAAAACTGTGACTGTAAAAACAGTGGTTAGATGCACTGAAGAGTTTAGTCACCCCAAGTACTACAATCTAGTGTCTAGGTTTTTATGCCTATAATGGAACCGAGATTTATGCCCAAATTAGGATGCTGAGTTAGTAAATCTACATTTGATGTGGTGGCAAATGTGAGAGAGACACTTCAGAATGGGATTTAAAACAGTCTTGAATATTTCGAGGTAGAGGTTCTCCATAGCCAATGGAGTCCTTCTGCTTTGACCTGGAATCAATACCTTTCACCATACAAACACAGAATCATAGAATTGTTAGGATTGGAAGGAACCTTAAAGATCATTGAGTTCCAGCTGCCCTGCCATGGGCAGGGACACCCCCCCCCGGCCGGGGGCGGCCCCCCCTGCCACTAGCCAAGGTTGCTCAAAGCCTCATCCAGCCTGGCCTTGAACACCTCCAGGGATGGGGCATCCACAACCTCCCTGGGCAACCTGTTCCAGTGCCTCACCACCCTCACAGTAAAGAATTTCTTCCTAATATCTAATCTAAATCTACTTAGTTTCAGCTTAAAACTGTTACTCCTCATCCTATCACTGCAGTCCCTGATCAGGAGTGCCTCCCCATCTCTCCTATAGGCCCCTGTTAGGTACTTGAAGGCTGCTATAAGGTCTCCCCGGAGCCTTCTCTTCTCCAGGCTGAACGACCCCAACTCTCTCAGCCTGTCCTCGTAGGGCAGGTGCTCCAGCCCTCTGACCATCTTTGTGGCCCTCCTCTCACCTTTCACTAAAATAAATACCATAGCCACCATGCTACTGACTTTTCTAAAGTAGTTGCTTTCCTCCCCCTGCCCCAGTTTTTTAGAATATAAATCAGTGGGGCACTTACCGAGGAAGAATCTGTATTTTTCCTGAAAAAATATTTTCAAAACAGAAGCCCAGATCTTCACCTAATAAAGTGGATATTCTACACATCACACTGGAGACACACACCGACTTTTTTTGTCTTCTGAATACTGAATAGATGCCAATCCATTCTCTAAGAACATGGTGAACATTGACTAGATTGCTAGATTCCTGTGTATGCATACTGGATCAAAGTCCTCTGGCAACAAGGAGAGTAGAATACTCCTACATACTGTTGAGGCAGCAGTTGGAGTTTGACGCTTAGCTGTATAGCTGTCTCAAAAATAAGGTGGTATTTGTGTATGGAAATAGAATTTGCAAGTGACTGGCCAGCATTAAGGCTACAAGGTGTAGTCGCTTTGGAGTTTATGCATATCAGGGATAACGTTTGGGGGTAGCTAGAGGAGGGGTCCTTGCTTCCAGGTTGTGCCTATAATAGGTGACATAATTTTGTTTGAAGAAAGCGGTCAGCTTAACTACAGAATAGGGGAAGAGGATGAAAGTGTGCAATTCCAGCTCAACTCCTGTTCAAATTGGCATCTCTGGGGAAGGTCTCAAGATCATTTGTTACTGTACCCAGCAGCTGTGCAAAAAGTATTAATCTGAGCAGGTAACCTGCCTCAGCTACCTGCTTTTGTTTCTGATGACTGGAAGAGTTGTTCTTGACTCACCTGCTATTGTTCAGAACAGCTTCTTCTAGTCCTAGTACTGCTCTTTTCTCTTTACATTATGAGTCAGCAATATTAAGAAGAGTGAGAGGTTATCTGATTTAATTAGTAGCTTCTGAGTGATGAGTAGAGAGCAGAACTGAAGGAGGGAAGCTACCTGCAAAATTGTCTGTCTAAAATGAGGAGATAGATGAATGGCAAAAACCCCCATTAGTGCTTATTTCACTAGTTTGTGGAATAGAATTGTCTTACCTAATAGACCTAGAAATAAATGGAAACAGGTGACAAGGGAAGAAGTAAAAGCTTGCTAAGGCTTTGGTTGTCACTACTGTTCAGAACCAGACTATCATTTTAATTGGGATAGCCAGTAGTTGTGATAAGCAGTGATTTCAGTTTATAGAATACTATGTAGCATAAGTAAGATGCTTTCTGAAGCTGATCTTTGATCAAGTTCTGTTCTTACATCAAGCCCAAGCTGCTGTAGCTGCAAATAGCAAATGGGTTGAGGTTGTTTTTTTGTTGCTGTTGTTTTTGTGGTGTTTGTGGCTTTTATTGGGGACTTTTGGGTCTTTGTGAGGCTTTTGTTTTGTTTTGGGTTTTTTTCATTTGTTTTGTTTGGTTATTTTTTTTCCAAAGCTCTGTGTTATTCCATTCCGCATACACATTCCCCACCCCTGCTTCTCCCATCTGTGGCCAGGCAAAAGCCTTTGTCATACCTGTCCTTTAACCTCCTATGCTCAGTGGAGATAGATGTTCTTCAGAACAATCTTAGATAAAAGTGCTGAATTCATGTGTTGTCTGCCATCCCATCTGCTCCCCCCCGATGCTGCTGTTAGTTTTGAAGAGGTAACATTTGGAGTGTGACCAATATATTGTAAGAGTGATCATTAGTTGTTCCAGGGACCTTGTCAGACATGTTTCAGCCACCTGCATAACGTTGTCTGTTGCTTTCACTGACTACACTGGCTTATCAATCTGGTTCCCTTGCTTTTTATTGTCCCATCCGCTCACTTTGTTTCGTCTACTGGTTGATAGCTGAACTTGAATTCACCTGTAAAACTTGCAATCTTTAGATTAAAAAGTTATTCAAGAACTTTTCCTGCTTTCTTTGTGTTTGTACTGGTGTATTTAGGTGGTCCTGTACCAAGAGACATTTATCAGAGAATCAAGAAGCTTGAAGATAAAATCCTTGAGCTGGAAGGACTGTCTCCTGAATATTTTCAATCTGTAGTAAGAAATTCTCTCAACTTCTTTTAGCGTACCTAAATGCATTTGGGACTTTTGTGCTTAAGTCTTTGATGTACAGACAAAAAAATAAGAAGTCAGAGGGCAGACACTTTTGGTAGACAACTCTGGCATAGTGTGATGGTTATATTTCATGTGGACCATCTATGTAAGTTCACATTTCTACCTAATTTCTCATTTGAAGTAAAATAATATTTGTTGGGAGGGAAAACATTGCAGCCACCCAAGCTTAACTAATTTGTAAGGAATATATTCTAGAGGTTGGAATTTTCCCTAGCCCTCTCCCCCCCCCCCACCCCTGCTTTAAAATCTGAAGTGTTTCTTATGACACAAAATTGACTAAAGTTTTTATCTCTATACAAATCATTAATGGCTTAAATAATCTGAAATCCTTTGGGCTTTTGTACATTATCTGATTACTAAAGATCAGCTATGTGAAATAACTTACAATAGGTTGAGAGACTAAACCCTTTAAAAATTCTTTCATGTGATTCTATGACTTCTATGGTTTCTTCGTTGCTAGTCTTCTCGTGGGGTTCTCTTTCTGAATAGTAAACCTTATCCTTCATTCACCAAAGGAGATTAGGACAAAGAGAACATTTTGTTACTACATCAGGCTCTGCATGGATGTAGAAATTTCTTATCTGTTATCTTGCACTTCTTTCTCCACCTAACAGTAAGAATGTGTCTTTTACTGTTGATTGTAATTTATATCTTCTCCCTTGAGAAGAGGCTTCTCACAAAGAAGAATCAGCAATTAAAAATCAATAGCAGTATAATAAATTTTTGTTTCATTTTTTTGTTTGTGTTGCATACCAGTAAAGTCTTTTATTTGTGAGGATATTCCATTAAGTTGTTGGAAACCAGAAGTTAAAACATACACTTTCATAAGCCAAAATTTCCACAGAAAGTGCTTTAGGATCTTCTTTAGAATGGGGATCTCGGGGAAAAAAAATGTGATGGTGGCAATAGTAGTCTTGTGCAGTAATTAGCATTTTTTTTTTGGTCCAAAGTTTTGCATAAATATTAGTGTGGACACAGGAGAACATGTTAGGGAGAAAAATATTGACAGTTTCAAAAGCAGGATATTGATCTTGGTTTTGTCTGTAGGAAGCTTCAGTTAAGTTGATAGTTGTTGGCTGCCAAGCATGTAGAAGCTTCAACAGCTTCTGACTGCTCTCCAGTAGTATTTCTCATGATCCAAAGTACACTTAATTATAAAAAAAGATTTCTTTAATCCATGGAATCGCAGTCAGTGTTTTTTATGTACTTTAAAGACTCTTGTCAACGTTGTTACAGAATTACTTGCGGTCCTCTGTCAGTGCAACATTAAGTCTGTTTTGATTATATCTTTTCTTTAGAGCTGTTCTGGGAAGAGGAGAAAGGTTCAACCTCCCCATGTAAGTGCTGTTAACTTTTGTTTACCTTAAGTTGAGGATGTTCTGAGTGAAAACTAATCAGAAGTTCTACCAAGCAAATATCTAACTTCTCAGAAATAGCTGCATCAGTATTGGATAGGTTGCTGGCAAAGAAAGAGGGGGAAGGAGAAGTTAATGGGTGTCACAATGAAATAAGCCTTCTAAGAGTCTGTACTAGGGTAGGTTATTTATTTTTTTCACCAGTTAGAAAGATGATAGCATAAATCTGTAACGATGTTAATCAAGCTGGGGGTAACAAGCAATTTGTGAATTCTGATCAGCCTCCTAGTAATGTCTTCTGGTTTTGTTTTGGTTTTTGGATTGGGGTTTTTTGGCTTGGGGTTTTTTTGTTGATTTTTAATTATTTTTTAATTCACTTTGTCAGTTTATGAAGAGACAATAAAAGTAGAAATGGCTGGCTCAGCAAAAGTGTTGCAGAAAGACATGATATTATAGCAGATACTAACCTAAGTCAGTAAGACTTGCCGTTTTCACACCACCATCACATAAGGGAATGCATTAACCATGTACCTGAGGCCACAAGAGAGTTTACCTTCAGTGCGAGAGAGGTTGTAGCTGGAACACTGTCTGCTACTAGCCATAATGCTTGGTGGCAGGTGCACTGAGGAGAATGCTTAGAATGGGATGTGGGCCATCTGAGACTTGAGGAAGTAGGCTTGTTTTAGACAAGAAAAAAATCCTCTGTAGGGTGAAATATTTTTATAAAAAGGATGATAGCCAGTTCCTTGTGTAAGAGATCAAAAAAATTGTTAGGTTAAGTGGGCACAGAGGAGGTTGATGTTGGGCAATAGGAGAAAAACCTTCAGTTGTAAAGCTGGGTTCTACAGGATCTACAGTATTGTCCTGTGTTTTAACATCAAAGGATTTTTGGTTTTTTATGAGCAGGTTGAACAAGTGTCTGATGGAAATTGATCCATGGTTAGGACTCTCAGTTTTTTCCAAGTTTACATTCTTTTTCTTTCAAGTTTAAATAACCATGTACTAGATTCAGATAATTCTGCAAAATTATTTCTGTCATTTAGTGCAATATGCAGTGACCTCAAGTATCAAGTGCTAGGCCACTTCTGTAGCAATTACAAGATGTAAATGATTGTGGGTTTTATTTTGTTCTTTTAGCAGAACTATTCATTGGCTGAACTTGATGAAAAGATCAATGCTATAAAACAGGCATTACTGAGAAAAACAAAAGAAAGCAAGTCCAAGGAGACTGAGCGGCTTCTTCGATAAAAAGTCTTCAGGATCCTCATAATGCTTTACACATACTTAAACCATAGACCTAAGTAGTGTTTGTTGGGTATGACTTTAACAAAGAAAGCAAAGCGTGCATGTAAGCTCCTTTTGGATGATCTTGAAAGCTTTCTTTCAGAAGAACTAATTTAAAACAGTCTTACTAATGAAATAGTTACTTTAAAATGAAGAATGTTTTAGGAATAGCATTCTAGTAATCCATTCCCTTCTGTTCTAAAGGAGGATTGCAGCATTGTTTGTATGTGGTCTTAACCTGCATAGAAAAGCTACGTTTTACGTGTAGTTCTTGATGAGTGAGTATTCAAAAGGGCTGTCTTTTTCATTTAAGTAGTTTGCATAGACTTGTGAAATAAAATTAAATACTTCCTTGTAAGTAAATGTCTGAGGAAAAAAAATTAAAAAAAAAATTGCAGTATGCATGTTTACCTGCATTTTTTTTCCGTATTTGTCAGTGTTTTCACAGCTGTTAGAAGTGCAGCAGATTGCATTTCTGTTTGAAAGATGGTTATGGAAATCCTGTATATGTAAATAGAGATACCTGTTCTTCACTTCCTCTGTGGCCTGTAGGAATTCAAACTTCATGCCCTGCTAACAAACATAATATATATGCTAAAGACCACTCCAGGGGAGATTTTGAGGAGCATGCCAGCAGGCACCAGTTTCCCTTCCTTCCATGCGCATGCTTACATGACTTCTGAAGCATGGATGCTGCGTACTTAGTTTAAATTAAAGTCAGACCTTTGGCCGCACACTGAAGTGTAATTGTGTTTCATTGTTTTTTAATAAACCGTTCTCTATACCGTTTTTTTAGTTTGTTTGCTGTTTCTGTCTTTATTCCAGTTCAGAAGAAAAAGTAGCTGTTGCAGAGGGAGCCTTTTATGTTAACTGTCTCTGTGACAGGTGTTAACGAACACTACTGCCTGGACAGTCTTGCACTTTGAAGAATAGTAGGCACTTTCTGTGATTCCGTGTTCTTATCTAGACTAACATTGGTGGTAGCAGCTGCACCTAATGCTTCTCTAAAGGTGAACCAGCAGAGGTGGGAGACAAATCTTCTTGAGATCTGGTCCTTGCTCCAGGAAAGAAGGCAGTATGACAGTTACCTGTTCAGATGCTTAACCTGTTCAGGTTAAGCCATTTGTTGCCTCAAATACAACATCAGATATAAAGAGGTGCTTTTGCAGTTGAAGACTGTGACCTGCCTATGTGTAGGACTGTTACTCAGATTTGTATGCTCCATACCAGTACAGTATTCTACAGAGACTACTTTTGTTATGTGAAATGCTGCCATTGTTGAAAATCCTAACAGCTCATGGTTACAAGGGCTGTTTTGGTGAAGCAACACAGCTGCAGCGGTTACCTCAAGTAGAGAAGCTTTACTTGCTGTCTACAAAACATTTATGTACTGGGTCCCAAGAGCCATAGCTCAAAAGAGTGCGATGTGGATATAATTGTGCCCAGCACCACACACTTCACCACAGTAGTACTTGAAAGAGTGGTGGGAGGTGGCTGTTAACAACTGGAGACAGGAAGGATAACCACAGGGATTTAGCTTTTGTAAAGCAGTAGCCTCTACTCATGTGTGTTGTAATTCAAGTACTGGTGGGATATGCTGACCAAGTCTACTGCATTTGCACTGTGGAATTTTCTCTGGAAAATTCATGAGTAAAGCCCTAGAGGAGATTAACCTAGGTCTGAAAGATTTGTCAAATATTAAATTATTTGTTGTTAGTTTACACCAAAACAACTGCATATATATATATACACACACACACAGAGAAAAAAATTCAGTCCTCATCTGGGCTCAGTTCTTGGAATAAATGCTGATTTCCTTAAGGGAGACTGGTTACAAAAGGACTGCATTAGCAGTTTGAAAGTGGCTTTTTCTGTAGTGAATTGCCTGCTACTTGAAAGATCTCTTGCTATGGGATTCTCCTTCCCCTCTTTCTCAAGATGGCAGCAACATAGCAGTTAAGGGTTGAAAGCATAATGAAGATGCATTGTAGCAAGACAATAGCTAAGGAGACAACAGCAGAAGTACTCTGGATGGTAGTTTATTAGCTCTATATACTTTATCAAATAAATGCTATGGATACACTTGAAAAATGTCAAGGTATTAATCTCACTTTGTTATTAGACCTTTGCCATTCTTTGGTTTCAAGTTCAATAAATATTCATTGGAAATATATTCTCTGCTGTAAGTTGCAGGTTAAAAGTAGTTGTGGATTTCAGAGGGCTGCCAAGCTGCTGGAAGTTTCCCTTCCTTGGCTATATGCTTTTTATGCATAGAGGGATGGGGGAACAGGACATGTTCCAGTAGTCAGCTCTACTGGTCTTACCAGTTTATCCTTGCTTGACTTTTGTCTCTTTGGGCTTTTTACCTTCTACAACTAACTTCCACTGGACTCTTTCTGGAGAAAGAGATGAGTTACCCAGTCCACCCCACCCCCATAATAAAGGGGATGCAGTATAGACCTCATACTATCCATTTTCCAGATCTACCAATTACACTGTTTTTCCTCTGCACCTGAAACACTACAGTGCTTGCTGATAGGTGGGGCTGCAGTAGCTGAAGTCTAAAAGATAACCACAAATGAAGCAAAAGCAGAGGAAGTGTTTACTATCTTGTTGGCATACCTCAACACCTTGATCAAGACCTTTTTACTGATGTTGGGCTGATCACTCCCTTCCTCTGAAAGGACACACCAAAGTGTTCTTAAGAAGAGAACTTTATATCTTTATTTATCGTCTTTCTCCACTTAAAGCTAGAGCTAGCAGTACAATGTGACACTGAAGATACCTTTCCTCATACAATGATGATGTCCTCTTGGGGTGCTCCTGGCATCCAGAAGCCTGCGTAATGAGAAGCACTGCTATGGCTACTGCTTAGTGCAGCAACATTTCTCACTTAGCACAGGGCCAGGTTTGGATCTGAACAGGACAAAGGAGTGGTTGAGATGTGCAAGTTCACTCCAGAGAAGAATTTACTGAATAGATAAAACTGTACAGGAGCATTTTTGTAGGTCGCTTATGTGATCCAGTTCACCATCCTCCAGCATGCATAATCCCAATAATGTTAAAGGTTTGCCTGTGAAAGGACATTAGCGCTTTTGTGGAAACACCTCTAATGACCAAAGCTTGTCTGCAGCATGGCGAGGACAACTATTGTACGGCAACAAGCATTCTGCCCAGCTGTCAGTCTAGAGCTCTTTAATTTGCAAGCAATTTGAGAAAATTTGCTTCTGGTTTTCTTGTAAGATGGTATCTCATGCGCAGTCCAGGAGCAAACACACTGCCATAAAAATGATAAACGTAGAGCAGATTCTTCATTAATTTAGGCTCACAAGCAAGTGTGCTGTTTACTAAAAGTCACCTTCAACATGTGGACATTTGAGAGGAGGTCCCAGCACTGCTCCCCACCCCTGCACCCCTAGTCAGTCGTTGAAATCCTGTTGACATCAGTCATGCATGAATGCCACAGCTGGATTCTGGGATTTGTTACTGGAGTCACACAAGAGTAAGAAAAGCTCCTAATTTGGTAACAGATAAAAACACCTGAATTTGGGTTACACAATGTTAATTTTGTATAGGAGGTTTCCCTGTTGAGGAGCTCTTGCACTGAACATAAGTGCAACCCGTTGCAGGATGATATATCACAAGTTCACTGAATTTCAACTGAACCCTTTCGCATGTGTCCAATATATGTATATCAAAATTGCAGGTAATCAGGAATGGCGTTGCTTAATTAATTTACCCAGAACAGGTTTACCATTGTTCTAGTGTACAGCTATTCCAGGTTAACACCAACAAGGTTATTCTGCTGTAAACTGGCAGGAAAACAGAGAAATGACCACAATATGTCCTGCTGGAGAGCGACTGCAAAGCATTCCAGGCTGCCAAGGCTCTTACCTGGGTGGCATCGCTTCTGCCCTGATATTTTCAAGGTGCATGCTTTGAAGCAAATGCTTAAAACCTCTGTAACCAACCAAGAACTGAAAGGGTAGCTTGGTTTACACTGCAAAAATTCAAGACAGACTTGTATCCCAGCTGCAGTATGTAAAATTTCACAGATAACAGGGGCATTCTGTCTCCTTATTTATGCTTACCTGAAAACTCATCTGGAGATCTTTCCGGGTTTTGCCAGGGTCCAATAGCCTGTGTTTCATACTTCACCTCAGTTATTAAGGGCATCTGGTTACAAGATAAAAAAAAAAATATAATAATGCAGCACTGTAAATTTGGCATTAATTATTTGAGGAAGATGTCTAAGAGCATTACTTTTAAGTCAAGAACATTTGTCTCCCTTAGGAATGCTTCACATTGCTGTTTTGCACCTTGCGTGAGAGATGTAGTAAAACACTGGAGCTTGTGTTACTGTGCAGTTCTGCAATGTGTGCATGATTGGTTTCTTTGCTTCAGGTTCCCCTGAGTAGGGAGCGATTCATCTCTAGGAGGCTAATTTCTTATGGTTGAGTGCAGGATTTTAATAAATAAACCCAAAAGTGAAGTGCCCTTTTGAACAGCCCTCGTATCAGCAGGTAGTATCAGTAATTTAGGAAACTCAAACCATTCACCATTCCATCCAGTGTACTGTGATCAGTGCTGGATTTTTTCTTTATTTTCTTAATACATCATAAGTTATCCCTTGTTATAATTAAGACCCTACAACGCCACTCAGAAATTTTAACCCCAGAATGATGAAGAAACATTATTTGAAGGAGAAGTAGTCAAAATACTCAATAAAATATAATTTGATTGATGAGTTTACAAATCATTTGCACCAGTGAGAACAAACCAAACATTTCCTGCGGTAGTGGATGCCTCCTCTCCTGAAAGAAGACATGCAGAGGGGGCTATGAAGAGGGAAAAAAAAGCATCCAGAAAGATTCTCTTACAGATACCTTTTCCCTTCCCCCATAAGAGCAAGTGTTTCCCCTAACCAAAAAAATTGCTGAGTACTTCAGGTTTCTGAAGCCACGGGAATCTCTCTACTCTGATTTATTTCAGCTGTGCTGTGACATGAGCCTGTATAATCCTCCCACAATTGCTTGCTACCTTAAAGCATGGCAGAAAGTGAAAACTCCCCACACTCCTGAAGGTTGCTGAGGATCCAGGCAACCTGTCCAAAAGCATTGGGCTACACATTGTCTTTGCGGCCAGCATTGCCCTAGCCCAGATAACATGTTCCTATGGCTAGGAATAGGATTTGCTCTCCTTTT